ATACATATATATATATATATATATATATATATATATATATATATAAAAATGTTGATAAAATTTAAAAAATGAAAAAAAATTAAACTTATTATATAAATTAAACCTTAGACAATAGACATACTATAGAAATTCGCCATTTTCTGAACGTCGTTGAGATAACGCACAAAAAGCTATAAATTCTTCGCGGAGATAAAATGAAAAATTTGAAGTTAATTAAATTGCTTCTAAATATAGAAAAATAATATTCTTTCTGCTACATAAGTTTATATGTCAAGTAATTTGAGATAAAAAGAGTATCTTTTACGTTATGTATATAAATTAAACACGTAATATTTTTGTAGTTTTCAACTATCCAAGTGGTCACACGGTAGATGAAGTAAGTTCTAGTGACTACTCTTCATGCACTACCGGTAATTCCATAACGTCCGACAGTAGCGGCGCCACCACTATCCCTCTCAAGACCGCCGGCACTCATTACTTCATTTGCGGCGTAATGGGCCACTGCAGCGGCGGCATGAAGCTAGCCGTCACCGTGGCAGCAGCCGGAGGAAGTGGTGGTGCTACCACACCATCAACCGGCACCACCACACCAACAACCGGGACCACCGCTCCTAAGACTGAAACTACTAATACTACACATCCATCTGCATCAGTTACTTTGTCACCATTTATTCCCTTGTTAATTTCCGGTGTGGTTGCAATATTTAGTTATTTTGTCACTATTTAATAAGCTTAGCCAGGATAGAGGCAGTGCCACGTTGTGACCATTTTTTATTTCCCTTTTGCTTTGTTGATTTTATTTATGTTTACTGCTTTTTACTATTTGATTTGCTATTTGTAAGTTGTTGGGTTGGTACATGTCTTGTTTTCATTTGTGATTTATTGGCATGTCATGATGACTCTTTTGGTAAAGTACTCCCTCCCTCCTTTCATTCACTTGTTGTTTCATATTAAAAATAATTTTTTTTAATTTTATTTGTTCGTTTTAGTTTATATTAAACATCGATTCAAACAGGAGGAGTACGTTTTGTTAATGTGCTTTGAATGATTAACATTTTAGAGTTACTGAATAGATGTGCACATTAAACTATTCATATAGCTGATTGACCTTACAACTCAGACACAATAAAGCGATAATAAGAAAATCTAATTATATTTTCTCATTTTACTTTAATATTAAATAACTATATAAAATTTGTAATAGTAGTCAAATTTAGAGAATCATTCATAAGATTAGTTTAGTATAATATGAAAAGAAGGGAGTATTTGATGCATGATTATGATTTTCGATAGTCCGTCGAAACATTTTTACATGATCTAATCAAATTAAGTCCACGTCATAGTTCTAACTTCTAAGCCCAAGATTGTATTAAATTGATCCAAGCCACAATGTATCAAGAGACATAACATGCCTAGTAAAATCCAAGCCCAAACATTGTGCCTCTTAGTCAAAATGAAGGCCCATTGAAGATGTACATAAACAAGGAAAAATGAATTTTAGTCCCATCAAATACAGCATTATATGGCATATAAAAATTGTATTGTTGCGATATGTAAGGAGAAAATTAGTAAACAAGTCAAATAACTTAATTTAATTAGTTATAATTTTTATATTTTAAAAATATTAGTAAAAATGTCATTATTTTAAAAAGAATTGTGTATTCTCATTTTAATTATAAATTTTTCAATTAATCTTCTCTCATATGTTTTTGAAGGAATGAAATATTTTCTCTCTCATATTTTTATATTCCAATTCTTTTCCATTTCAAAATTTGCCTTTCTTCTTTTTTTTTCAGAAATTGAAAAATATATTTATAAAGATATTCACACAATACCTTTTATTAAAATATGAGTCTTTGTCCGTTTTTAATATTTATTTTATGATTTTATTTTTATTTAAATTGTTCAAATTGTTGTTTGTAGTTGAAATCACGTTTTGAGTTTGATAAACTCCAAATCACTCTTCAATGACTGAATCTAAGAGAATTACTAGAGGTATCCAACTTAATCAATAATGTTCTATTTTTCAAACATCACAATTTTCTACTTAGAACACAAATGATGATAATTTTATATTTTATATTTTAATTTGTTTATTTTGTATTTCAATATCACTTTGTATACAAACAAGTTCTATTTTTTTTAATTTTGTATTCATCACAAAGGTATAAGTCACATTTGTATTTCGATTGAAGTGCATATTTATTGTGCTCATTTTGTATTTCAATCTTAATTTTCAATGACAACAAGTTTGTAATTCTTTTTATTATGTTTTCCTCATAATTGTATACCAACAACTTTTATATTTTATGTGTTCACTTTACAATTAAAATTAAAATTGAATATCGTATGGTGGTGAGTATTTTATTGTGATCATCTTGTATTTAACTCTCATATTGTATTCAAAAAAGTTTGTATTTTTGTGGGTTCATCATAATGATATATCAACAAAATCAATTTTGTATTTCAACTGATGTGAGTATTTATTGTCCTGATTTCGTATTTTAATCTCAATTTTAATGACAATAAGTCTGTATTTCTTTTTATTATGTTTTCATCATAATTGTATATCAACAAATTTTGTATTTTATGTGCTCACTTTACCATTTAAAATTAAAATTGGTATTTTACTTTCATAGTGAAACTAAAATTGTATTCTAGTGATCAAAATTATATTACATAACTGCGAAATATATTTTTCTTTTATTTGTATTACAAAAATTTTACGGATTATATTCCAATATAATCTAATCACTACATATGAATACATTTAAAGAAAGATACATGATTCTAGAAAAAGAATAACATACATAATTAAAAAACTACAATCAGTTGAGGTTCTAAAAAATACAAATTTTAAAAACGCGATTTAATTGAATTCATTTCAACAGAAATTGAGTATCATCAATGAAAATTTAAAAATCGATACTATAAATGATGAATAAGTGAGATGAGTTCTTTTGTGTTTAATTTTTTAAATTTGTATTTATTTTGAATTTTTATAACTGATGAGACTTTTAAGCAATTGTTCCTTTTTTAAAAAATTATCTCCCCTAAATTTCTCCATTTTCTTAGTTAACAATTATATTTTTTAAATTAAAACAAATAAATAAAAATTTAAATAAGATACGTAATAAACTAAAACTTTGATATTTTTACTAAATATTAAAAGTGTTAACAATGATTCTTATAAAATATTAAAATATTGACATCTCAAAAAATTTCTCCCGTACAAGCTACCAATCAAATAAAGAAAAGTTTGTTTGCAACAAATTAAAATGTTACTAGTACTTATCTATGGAGTTTGAGATAAACATTTGTTACTTTCTAGTTTTCTGGTACTTATCCCTAGGGTAAAATAGTTGTTTTTAATAAAAAAATATTTTCCAACTCTGTTCATAGACTTTCATACACAACGCACACTAAGTATTTGATATCTTCACGTCTCAAATTACAACTAAACGTGTAATTACCATTCACTAATTGATGCAACGAAAATCAATCAAAATATAGGAAATTTGAACATACAAAACGCACATGGTAGTACTTCACTGTTTATTATTTAATTACTTATGTTACTAATACTTTAATTTCAGTAATTATCTTTACACTACTAACACAAATGTTTAGTTTTAATGGGAAAAAAATCTTAAAATCTCAAATAATTATAAAGTTGGAGGGACCAGTAATGTCTCATCCGCCGTACTTGATGGTCTGTCATTTTTGGCAGATACCAAACAAAATGGAAATAATCATATCAATAAACAACTTAGCTTTACTTACTCCTAGGTTTGTATAACGTGATTCCGGCCTCCAGAACCACATGCCGCACTATAACCAAAAGAAGTTGCAGCTGTCAAAACACGTGTCTATCTAGCAATTTCTAATGCTTTTTTTTTCAATCAAATTGAATAAATTTAATTAAACATCATAAATAAACGAAGAATTTATAATAGTAATAACAATGGTGATGATAATTAATAAACAATAACCATAAGTAAAAATCAAATCAATAGCATGTACGTAATCGTCACCATCACCCAAAGGTAAAAGAAAAAGTAGCAAAACGAATAATAAACATCAACGAGTAAGATGAACTAAAAATATAAAAATCCTAAAATCATAAACATCCCTCTCTCCAGCAAATCCAAATGCAAATATCTCCTCAGATCTAAAACAGCAAAGACGCAGCGAAGATAGCTACGACGGCAGATCCAGCAACAGCGACTCTGTTCAAGGATGCAGCATTTGGAGAGGAAGTTGGAGAACCGCTTGGTGTAGCACCGATGGACGGAGCAAGAGCACCACCGGCGGTAGGAGCAGAAGCCGGAGTCTCAACGGTTGGTGGAGCTGGTGGAGATGAAACTGGAGAATCAGAAGGTGAACTTGCAGCAGGAGATACTGAAGGAGCAGATACTGGGGTAACAACAGGAGTTGGAGGTTTTGCTACCGGTACCGGAGACGGTTTCGGTGAAGCTACCGGAGAAGCTCCCGGAGCTTGAGCAAAAGCAGATCCGGCGACCAAAGCGAACATGAAAGCAACAACGATAATCTTCGAGTAAGCCATTGTCTTCTCTTTCTCTCTCTAGAACTTTTCTGTATATTGTGATATTTGTTTGTTTTTTTTTGTAGAGAGAGAAAGTATATGTATTTTTGTAGAAGAAGAGTTGTAGAGACGAAGAACACCGCCACAGGGAATGGAGTATATATAGGAGGGAAGTGAAAACAAATTAAAATGAAAATGTTCACGTCGTTTGTTTCGGTGCAAAGAAATCAGGAGCGTACACGTGTATAGTTGGATGATCGAACAGATGAAGAGTTGCGAATCACTAAGGACCGTTTGATCAATTAATTATTCTCATCAATTATGGTTACCGTTATGATTGGCACGTTCTAAGGTGGAATTAAAAACCTTTTTTTTTGTGTTGCCCACCTGGTTTGTGGGACCATACAACGTTTGAGGGCTAATAATAGTCAACAGAGTAAACCACTTCAATACCGTAATTAAAAATAAGTATAATACACGTAAAATGTCATATAAAAGTGTAAATTGATACGTATAATATACATAGAATGTCATGTAGAAGTATGAGTTGATACGTAAGAATATTGCACATTGTATTAGAGTAGAGTGAAGAAAATGGAAGTTCCTATTCGATGGATTGTGTGATAAATTGCACCATTAAACTATAGATGCAAGTTATATAAAGTGGCGATCAAACAAGCTATGTATTGAATGAGTACGGAGTTGATTGGTCAAGAAATTGTATGTACGAAAGATAAAAATTATCAAAAATGAAGATGTTATAAATGGATGTGTGGACGTACATAAATATATGTAGGATAAGATGGAATTGGTCTTCGTACATGATGGATAAAACAAGAAAAACGAGATTATGATGATTCAAATTTGTGAAAAGACAATGAACACATACTATAATAAAGAAATGTAAAAGATCGATTACAATAAATAAAAAATAGAATAAAAATAGCCCCGAAATAATATTAGAAAAGAAATTAAACTAATAATAAATGTTTTTTTAAGGGTGTCAAAAAGCAAAACCACCAAATAACATGGACGAAGGTAGAATTGTTTGCTGATTAAAGGTTAGTAGCAATTATTAGCATTAACTTTACATAAAAGTTTAATTATACATTGAGATAAGCTCTCCCAGAAATTGTGAGCGTGAATTGTATCCGAAGGCGTAGTCTATTGGCTATTATCAATGAAATGACTAATTAAAATTACTGAGATTTCAAATTTGAATATCTCAAAATACCAGTTAACTTATTTTTATTATTAGATAATATTACTTTGATCAAGTCTTAATAAATAATATTACTTAAATATTTATATTTTTTGGTGGAATATAGCATAATACCTTTAAAATCAATTGAGCCATGTATGGGTTGGCTTGAATTGAATAATACTATGG